AGACCAGTGCCTATGAGAATCTGGTTATTAAAAGTGAAGGTAACTGTTTCTACTTTTCAATGGTGGACATTTCATCCATAACAAATCCAATCGTCTACTTCATCTTGAGTCAGCATGTTTTGATAAGCCTCAGGAGATCACTTCATTCAATTTCAGAATTTTCCAAATTTGAAATTTAAAAAAATATATTTGGGGGCTGGGGGTATTGCTTTCTGGTAGAGTGCATGCTTAGCCTGTATGAGAGGGTGAGGTCCTGCATTCAAACCACCAGCCCCGCAAATACACTGTATACTGTATAAAAATATTCTGTATATTTTTCCTATGATTTCCTGCTGCATTAAGTCAATGTATTTTTCTATTTTAAACTTTTAAAATAAAACCAATTTTCTCATAGAAACATGGAAAGATTTCCAAAACCACTACCTACACACTTAAAAGTGTTGTCAAATTGATATGTTGTAGGAAACATTTAATTTTAAAATGATGCATTTTTCATAGGATTGTTTGGTGTCATAAACATGTACATTTAATTTCTAATCGTCTTCGATTTTTACTTTTATACTCTAAAATAACTTTTTGTAACTGATTATCCCATGGTGTTGAATACAGAGAACTATGTCTAAAATGATGGTTTTCACAAGTGTTCTTTTAGTTTGCTATTATACATTTTTCTCTTAAATATTAGTTCCCTGACTTCTGCATTTTCTGCAGGTCCCCCGGAGAATTAAAATTGAAAAGAAAGGTTCTACTATTTATAAAAGCAAACTATGAAGGAGCCTGAATATGTTTCTTTACAGTGGATTTGTAGAGTCAGAGCACAAGCTAACATGTACCCAAAATTTGACAACTATGACAAATTTTCCCCAAGTTAATGCCATAACACCAGCAGGTCAGAGTTTGCACTGTAAGGAACTAGTTTGAAGATTGCATGATTAATTGATATGAGATTATCAAAATAACACCCTGAACTACTATTGTTCGGTAAAATAATGAAATGAAATTGAAATAAATATAACAATATTTTAATTACAAAAATTTCAGTCCAGAAAAGATAGGAAGCTTCTAGGGGGTATTTACCTTCCCTCCTGTGAGGGACTGAATTCAGACTCTGCCCTCTTCAGAACAGAAATCAGAAAATACATCCAGTGAGTGCCCAGATAGGTGGGTTGTACCCAAAGACCGTGCCTTCCTAACCAGCTCCCAATAAATCTTCACATTTCGGGGCATCACTTTCAACCAGATGGATTTTCAGAGCCCTGTCTTCCCATTTCTGCTGCAGCACAGCAGACCCACATTACACCAGGGAAAAGCTGAGAAGCTGAGATAGATGTCAACAGCACATTCACTGGTTCAATTTCCTGAAGTATCTGGAGACTGGGGATGATAGCAATTCTGGGATTCATGAGATTCAGTGATGCCAAGTATGTAGGAACCATAAGAGACCTGTTCTTGTTCTCTCAGAGGTGTGCCCTGTGGCTGTCTGTATTTTCTGTGTGCCATCCCCAACTGGGGATGAGAACAGAAATAGAAAAACAATTGCTTTGTCTCTTCTTCCCAGCAGAGGTGAACATGCACATAGCTTCAGAGCACAGCCCCTCCACTTGGCCTCACGAGCTGCCAAAGTTGAGTCTTCACATAATAAAACTTCCTTTCCTGAGGATTCATATGCTTTTCTGTCAGGAAAGAGTGAGTGTTCTGGAGTTTGCACAGGAGCTCCGAGGAAACAAGATCTGTGTGTCCCAGCCTCCAAGTGCCTACCTTTCAGAGATCCTGGAGTCCAATGTGGGAAGTAACAAGGTTTCCTGATTTTACTCTACCATCAAATTCCTCCCATACAGATTCTTGCATCTTGTCTTGGTTAACTGTCACTCTCTTTCTGCACTCTTTATTTCAGTATCGAGAAATAGATTCTCTCTCTTTTTATTTATTTATTTAATTCTTCATTTATTCACATGTGCATACATTGTTTGGGTCATTTCTTATGCTCATCATTCATTGTGAACAGTTCAAGGGAAAATGAGTACACATTAGAGGGACAAATTAAATAAAGGTGCTTAGGATTTGGCTAGTTTTGTTTCAGTGATGGAGAAATATCTCTCTGAGAAAGATTTATTTGGGAATGATGACACTACAAAGAGAAGTAAGGATTTTCTGCATTGTGGATTTAGGTGAAATATGTAGAATAATGTTACTACTTAAGGGAAATTATACTAGACTATTTATGGAGTGCTGCTATATTTCAGGAAAATTAATAACTGTTCATTATTTTAAAAATTATGAATTCTTCTGAGTAGCCAAACTACATGACAACTTTGTGAAAATATATTATTGCCATAGAGTATGAAGTCAAATGTATATTAAGTCTATGTCTTATACTTACCTATAATTAAGTACAGCACTAAAAACAGCACCTGGCACCAGCAACTTACTCAGGACATAAGTGTACATGTTACATTTTCTTTAGCCTGCAAGGTGGGTGTCTTTGAGATGACAATGAAAAGAGTACAGAACAGAGACTGACATGTCAGATGGCCATGTAGCAAAGTGAGAGAAGAGTGTGATAGCAATTCTTTAAATTTTTTTCTAGAGAACTTTTAGATTTAGTGTCTACCTTTCTATTTATCTCCTGCCTTCCTCCTCAAGAACAGTTCACAAGGAAATTTTCACACCACAGGACCATGAGCCTACTGTGCTTTGTGCTTCTGCAGTACCCAGCACATAGGAACCACTCTAAGTCTTACCTGATTATTATCAGTCCTTAACAGATTATCGAGTAAGTTGTAATTACATGAAAGTGAATTCAGTTCTTCTTCCTGGTCTGACATAGAGCCAATACCTAGAAAAATCACTTGCATTATCAATTCTTACCCTTAAGAAAACTTGAAAGCCTCTGCTTATAACTATGTAGGCAAGAAAATTTGTTTCCACTTCTCCCTTGTTACTTAAAATGCTCTTACCAGCCTTCTGGAAATTTAATGTTTTATTTCTAAGAGAATGTTTTTAATTGGTATTAAATATGTCACACAGGTATCTAAAAGTAAGAAAAATATAAAAGACAACTAAATCCTAAATTCAAGTGTTTAATACTTTCTGAATCCTTCAGATGGTCTCATCAAATTTTAATGATCTTATTTTTATATAGATCATAAACAATGAAATTCTTCTGAGTTATAATACTTATTTCCTTTGGGAGGGAAGGAGCAGGAATTTAGTATAGTAATACCAGATGATATTTTATAGAAACAGATCAGTTAAGACATCAATATTGGGAAATTTACTCATTGTTTATATTTATTCATTTATTTATCACCAACAAATGTGTTCTGATTGTCATCGATATAAAGAGACATGCCATGGACTGTAGGCATTCATCCTCCAGTGGCCAGGGTCCCTGTGCCGTCTGCTTCCCCACTCCCTTACCCTGAAAATGATGATGCATGAGCTCCAAATGCTGCCCTTCTGACAAGGTGTCTACACTCCATGTTGATCACTGTCTATCTTTTCATTTGCCTTATGGTAGCAACAAATGTTTGCATTAAAAATCATGTTAAACTTCAGCAGTGTTTGTTGAGAAAATTGTGATCCAAGATGCAAGATCAAATAAGCAAACTCATCAATTTAGCATACCACCAGTACATAAACTAAGTATTTTATTAAAAATTTGTTAATGAAGACATTTGTTAAGTGACAGATTGACTGAATTATCAATTTGTCATTATCTTCTTTCTATTGTCTACTTATAAAGAATACGAGAATTATTTTTGTTTAGGCAGCTCACAGATTTTCAGTTTAAATAACAACTTACTCTGTGATTTTAGGTATAGTGTTTGTTAGAAATATGCAGGGTTGAATTAACAACAAAATTGGTCTGTTTGTTCCTCATAATTCCTGCATAGCTATGGATGTCAGAGGAAATACAGAAAAGAAAGTTTGCATGGATATTGCATGGGAAGTTAAGCCTGAAAGTATTTTCACGTAGACACCTACCATACCCACCCTTCAAATACTTGAGAGTTCTGAGAACACATACACATAAGTATCTGTGCATACAAAGTCTAGGTTGTACTATTGGGCTGATAAATAGAACAGACATTGCCCTAATTTCTTTAAGATAGAGTTTAAAAATTCCTAAAATGGATTATTAATAATTTGGTGAATCACCAGGTTGACCAGTGGCTAAGTGATCAAATGTGTTTTTTTCCTGTTTTTCAAGACAATGATACAAGTTTTGGATTCATTTGTATATACACATATGAATATATATACATCCTTAAAAATATGGTGAGATATATCAGATATATCTTTATCTGTAGATATTTTGTTCCCTGTGTCCTTCCTTCTCCCTAACTCAAAACATTTTACATTGTACACATTTTACATTGTACATTGTATCTAGGCTCCCCATTGCACTCCATAATTGCCCATAAATGATATTTCTCAAAAAAATAGTATTAGTAATAAAAATTGCTGTTTCATGATTTTGTTTAGAAAAGTCATGTAAAGCACTCTCTAGATTTTAGTTAGATTTAAATACTTATATTAAATCAATACTCATTTCTACCAAAGTAAATAAAACTCTTTTTTTCTAGGACTAGACTTATTTTACTAACTCTACCATTATTCTTTCTAATATCCAGTAATTCTCTTACAGACATGCACATATGAAACTCAGAAAGCCTATGTGTCAGGATAATTTTATATGTATAGGTTAAATAGTTATTAATTGCATCTACAATGACTCTACATAAGAAATCATTAGTTAAATATTTCTCTTATGAAAGCTGGATTTCAGATTAAACATGTAGATTATGGAAACTCAATTAAAATGTTTGGGAAGTGATATTTATTCTATTTATTACTTAATTTCTTGAACTAGATCCTAAAGGCATTTACTATAATTTTCCATACAACTTAAATTTATGACATAATAAATCGAACACATGTTTTAAAAGAATAGTGTCACAGAATTATCTGGTTCTCTCTTTAATAGTGAAATAGAGGAAAATCAGACAATGGTCACAGAATTCATCCTTTTGGGATTTGGACCTGGCCCGTGGATTCATATAATGCTTTTTGGACTTTGCTCTCTTTTCTATACCTTCACCTTGCTGGGTAATGGGGTCATCCTGGGGCTCATCTGGCTGGATCTCAGACTGCACACCCCCATGTACTTCTTCCTCTCCCACCTTGCCATTGTTGACATTGCCTATGCCTGTAACACGGTGCCCCAGATGCTGGTGAACCTCCTGGACCCAGCCAAGCCCATCTCCTTTGCTGGCTGCATGACACAGACTTTTCTCTTTTTGACTTTTGGACACACAGAATGTCTCCTCCTGGTGGCAATGTCCTATGATCGGTTTGTGGCCATCTGCTACCCCCTCCACTATTTGGCCATCATGGGCTCAAGAATCTGCATCACACTGTTGGTGACTTCCTGGACATGTGGTTCCTTGCTGGCACTGGTCCACGTGAGTCTCATCCTGAGACTGCCCTTCTGTGGACCACGTAAAATCAACCACTTCTTCTGCGAACTGTTGTCTGTACTCAAGCTGGCCTGTGCTGATACCAGGCTCAACCTAGTTGTCATCTTTGCAGTTTCTGTGTTCATCTTAGTAGGGCCACTGTGCTTAGTATTGGTCTCCTACTCACGCATCCTCATAGCTATCCACAGGATCCAGTCAGGGGAGGGCCGCAGAAAGGCCTTCTTCACCTGCTCCTCCCACCTCTGCGTGGTAGGGCTTTTCTTTGGCAGTGCCATCTTCATGTATATGGCTCCCAAGTCCCACCATCCTGAGGAGCAGCAGAAGATCCTTTTCCTATTTTACAGTTTTTTCAATCCCATGCTAAACCCCCTGATCTATAGCTTGAGGAATACAGAGGTCAAGGGTGCTCTGGGAAGGGTCTTGTGTAAAAAAGTCATTCTCGATTGAATGATGTTTGAATCTCCAGTCTCTTACCGACTTGTTCAACAAAAGTCACTACTCCCTTCATAACTGAGCCCTAAAGACACAAAGTAATGCTCTTCCTCTTTATCTGAAGGAAAAAATTTAGATGCACTACAAATCATTGGGTTGTGATTTCAGGTACAGTATGTGCTATAAATATGAAGGGTTGAATTAACCATAAAATGAGTCGAATTATTCCTTGTTTTCATTCTGTGCTATGACTGTTCAGAGGAAATCCAGAAAGGAGGTCTGCATAGATGGTGCATGGGATATTATGCCTCTAAGTGTTTCACAGAAGTACCTCCATAACCACTATCCAAATCCTTGGAAGCTTTGGAAAGACACACACACATTTACAACAGACTCCAGGTTTGTAATACTGAGCTGACGGAAGGAATACTAATTCCAGAATATCTATGGTTGCAATTGAAAATTTCCTTTGGTGAATTAATAATTCTGTGACTAACCCAGTTGACCAGTTGTCAAGTTTTTAAATGATGATTTGTTTCCATTTTTGAGACAATAATACAAGTTTGGATTCACATTTACACACATAGACAGATGATAGATAGATAGATAGATAGATAGATAGATAGATTTGTAAATAGGTATAGGCATATATATTAGTTTATATATTTTTTAAAATATAGTGAGATATATAATATCTTAGATGTCATTATCTACAATTACTTTGTCCACTGTCTCTTTCATCCTCCCTATCTGAAAACATTCCACATTGCATACATGTATCTTAACAAAATATTACACTCCATAAGAACTCACAATTATTATTTCTTAATCAAAAGTGACATTAATGAGATGGTAGAGTGGATCAAGTGGTAGAGCATCTGCCTAGCAAGCCTGATGCCCTGAGTTCAAACCCCAGACTGAAAAATAAATGCTATTAGTTACAAAAATTGCTGGGGTTTCTTTTCTGTGATTTTCTTTGAGTGACATATGCAAAGTCTTCTCTAGACTCTACTTATATTTAAATATTTGTAGTAACTCAATCATGATTTCTATCCATACAACTAAAATTCTTTATTCTTTTGCTTTTTGGATCTATTATCACTGTAAAATCTCTTCCATTACTCTTTCTAGTATCCAGTAATTCTCTCACACATTTGCACATACAAAGCTCTGAAAAAACCTATTTGTCATGGTCATTCAAATGGCTTTTTGTAACAATCACTGGAGACAAATTTCTCTGCTGAAAATTGGATGTCAGAATAAATATTTAGCTTGTGGGCTGATAGTCAACTTAAATTTTTAGGAAGTAATATTTTATCTGTGTATTAATTAATTTAATTGAATAAATCTAAATTTATTAAATTTAATTTAAACTTTTTGTTTTTGAAATTTCCTTTGATTTTAAAAATGTATTAATTTTTGACTGTGCCTGGTTGTAATTGTGTGTAATGAGTCCACAAATAAGACAGGCTCACTCAAAAGTTCTGGAAATATGGCTCAAACTGTAGTGTTTGCTGGCATGTATGAGACAGTGGTCTAATCCCTAGGGCCACAGTAAAAGAAGAAGCAGGGGCAGAAGAAAGATATGTAGTATTTAATATAGAAATGATAATGACATAATGAAACACACCAAACACTGTTTGAAAATGGGGGAGGAGGAAAAGGAATATAATGGAGGGGGTAAACATATTCTAAGTATGCTGCATGTATGTATAGAATTATCACAGTGAAGTCCCCTTGTATTACTAATGTATGCTTATTCAAAACTAGAATAAAAATTTTAAATGATAATGATACATATTACTTTCTGTCATATAGAGAATAGAGGGTATGAGTCTTTCTAAAGGAAGTATCCAAAACTGCTACACCCTACAGCTATGGTAGCTTCTGTTAGCAACATAACCATGTAGAAATGATTAATTCTCCCATCTCCTGCAAGGGGGCAGCAATTTTACAGGCTGTCACTACTGAAAACAATGGGAGTGGTGCTCTGTATGAAACTGGATACCTAAAATTGACCTTCACAGTGTCCTTGGCATGTGGGATTGGATACTGCCATCACTGAAATGTAGGACTATTGTTCCTTCTTTATTACAGAATGTGGACCAGTGCTTCTCACTGGGTGATCTGTTTTGGACAGAATCATCTTGGGAAGTTGAAAAAGAATAAGTTCCAATTGGGAAAATCCAAATAGGCTGAGCAGATATTCAAATTTCTAATCATCTCCATATCTTGGTGATTTGTAGATCCAACCACCCCTCACTGAATACTAATTTTGTAGGAAAGTACTGTTAAATCTGAGGTTCTTAAGAAAATGTGAGAAAAATGAAAATAAAATCAGAATGTGATCTCACAGAACCTCAGGGCTGAGGATCTTTTGCCACACCCTGGGGAAGCCTCCATTTTCCTTGCAGCACTGGCTCAATTTGATTGCTGTTTTGTTTTTTGCTCGTTTCTTTTGCCTGTTGCCTCTGTTTCCTTCCCAATTTCTATAACATTGTAGGACCAGGAGGAGAGGAGCACTGTTAGACACAGTCTAATTTGGTCCTTATAGAACTGGCTGAGAAACCAGATGTTTGGGTTCTATCAGAGATTGGAAAAAAATCCATAGACAAGTTTCCTGCTATTACATTCACATACCCAACACTTCACAACTGACACCATTTGAGTGAGGGTTTTCCCCACATACCAAACCATCAATTCTCTGGTAGACACAAGTTGAATGTTCTGTGATTCAATTCAATTCTGAGAGTTTACCTGGTGGTGGTGTCATATCTGATGATTTAAGGGATCAGTCCCACACGGCTGTCCCCACTTCAGATGGTAATAACAAACCTCAGGTTGTGATCTGTGCCTTTGGCTGACTAGCTATAATTCAGGATTCCAACTTCATATCCACCACAGCTCCAGAAGCTGCCAACATATCCCTTTGGTGAAAAATGATACCATCCAAATGGAAGAGGGGGACATGAAGTCCATGCTGGCTGTTCTATCAGGAGATCATTGTGTATAAGGAAAGGGGCCATAATAAATAGACCCTAAATATAGACATACAAATGCTGTCTCTTTTGTTTCCTGTTTCATGGGTACCTGGTGAATTTCTGACCTTTCACTCACAATTACTCAGAACATACAATTTATAATATAGAATAATACATTTTTCACTCTCCCTCTGTTACATACTCTTGGGCCATCCTGAAGATAAATACTACAAAGCCCTAGGTGTTTCTCTGAGTGTTAGTAGTTGCTCTTTTAAAGTCTTTCTGATGAGAAAACACATGAAAAAATGCTCACCATCTCTAGCAATAAAGGAAATGCAAATTAAAACCACGCTAAGATTCCACCTCACCCCTGTTAGAATAGCCATCATCAGCAACACCACCAACAACAGGTGTTGGCGAGGATGAGGGGAAAAAGGAACCCTCTTACACTGTTGGTGGGAATGTAGACTAGTACAACCACTCTGGAAAAAAATTTGGAGGCTACTTAAAAAGCTAAACATTGATCTACCATTTGATCCAGCAATACCACTCTTGGGGATATACCCAAAAGACTATTACTCCAGAGGCACCTGCACACTCATGTTTATTGCGGCACTATTCACAATAGCCAAGTTATGGAAACAGCCAAGATGCCCCAGCACTGACAAATGGATTAAGAAAATGTGGTATCTATACACAATGGAATTTTATGCAGCCATGAAGAAGAACGAAATGTTATCATTCGCTGGTAAATGGATGGAATTGGAGAACATCATTCTGAGTGAGGTTAGCTTGGCCCAAAAGACCAAAAATCGTATGTTCTCCCTCATATGTGGACATTAGATCAAGAGCAAACACAACAAGGGGATTGGACTATGAGCACATGATAAAAGCGAGAGCACACAAGGAAGGGGTGAGGATAGGTAAGACACCTAAAAAACTAGCTAGCATTTGTTGCCCTTAACGCAGAGAAACTAAAGCAGATACCTTAAAAGTAACTGAGGCCAATAGGAAAAGGGGAACAGGTAGTAGAGAAAAGGTTAGATCAAAAAGAATTAACCTAGAAGGTAACACCCACGCACAGGAAATCAATGTGAGTCAATGCCCTGTATAGCTATCCTTATCTCAACCAGTAAAAACCCTTGTTCCTTCCTATTATTGCTTATACTCTCTCTACAACAAAATTAGAAATAAGGGCAAAATAGTTTCTGCTGGGTTTTGTGGGGGGGAGAGGGAGGGGGCGGAGTGGGTGGTAAGGGAGGGGGTTGGGGCAGGGGGGAGAAATGAACCAAGCCTTGTATGCACATATGAATAATAAAAGAAAAATGAAAAAAAATAAAGTCTTTCTGATGATAATTTACTTTAAGCAGCAGTTATATCTACCCACTTTGTGTATCTTTATCTGTGTTACTCTCAACTCAATCTATGGTTAAATTCTAGAAGTCTTTTATCATAATATTTACAAATGTCCAGTGAATCCAAATGCTCAGTGCTAGCACTTAATATAAATGCTTTTATTTCCATTAGGACTGTGTTGTCTGCGTACTGAGTTCTTTTGTATAGTTAAGTATCACTCTTTTCTAATAGTAAACACAGTGAAGATAATTTATCTCAGTTTACCTTTAAAAGAATATAGAAAATTCATTTTTTTCAGTACTGGGGTTTGAACTCAGGGCTTCACAATTGCTGGGCAGACAGTATACCAGCCTATTTGAGTCACACCATCAGCACTATTTGCTCTGCTTCTTTTGGAGATAGAGTCTTACTTTTTGACCAACCTAGCCTGGATTGCAATCCTCCTATTTATGCTTCCTTTTGTAGCTAGGGAGACAGGTGTGTACCATTCCCAGCTATTGGTTCAGATGGGGTCTTGCAAACTTTTGTCTGGTCTGGCTTAGAAATGCAGTCTTTCTGATCTCCACCTCCCAAATAGCATTTTGCAAGAATGAGCCACCAGCACCCAGCTAGCTATCCAATTTTTTTGTTCTTAAATAACTTTCTGAGTTTTAGTTTGGATGGCATTCCAAAGTGCTA